GGAGGGGGGAGTGTAGGTGAGCCGTGGCTGGGTGATTGAAGGTTGTGGGGCTGGGCTGTGTCTGATGGTCGGGGGGTGTCAGTGGCTTTGTCTAGCTGGGACTCATGTTCTCTGTCCCACTAGGGCTCTGCTCAGGTTGAGGGGCCCACAGGAGTGAAAGGGCCCACGGAGGGGGGGAGTGTAGGTATGGGGAGGATCTGGGGAGTATCTGGAAGGGTCAGGGGGTGGATTGGGGAGTATTTGGGGGTTGCTCATTTAAGAGTATTTGGGTATGGGGAGTGTTGGGGGCCCCAGGAATATCTGGGGGTTGGAGGCCTTTGAGGGGGCTCTGTGTATATGTGGTGGGTAAGTGTAGTGCAGTCTTTGGGAGAAAGAAGGGGTCTGTGTGTAGCTAGTGGGGTTGTGGGGTTTTTCATCGGACCAGGACCCCTGTCTGTCTAAGAGGGGGTAAGCCCAGTTCTCCCTGCCACCCTTCTTTCACATTCTAACCTCCCCCAGAACCCACCCCTGTCCTGTTTGCCTCCCTCCTCCCCAACTCTCTCCCAACCCCCGGCTCTGGTTTAACTCCATAACCCACTCCGACAGTCCCTACCCTGCGGGAACCTGGTGCACCTGATCTCCCCCTACCTGACCAAGCCCATGACCCCCTCTCCTCTGTCACAGGGGCACTGAGCAAGGGACCAAGTTGGAGAGAGACGTGGAGGGCTGGAGCTGAGACCCCCTCCCAGCATGGCGGCAGCAGCAGGTAGGGGGGGTATTAATTCCTCTGACCCTCCTCCCCTCTGTCCATCCCTTCCTCCACCTGACACCCCCTTGATCCAGCTGTGTCCATAGACCCCTCTAGCCACTCTACATATGAACCTCTGTGTCCCTACCCCTCAGCCCCTCCCACCCTGCCCTAGATCTCTTCTTCCCACCACCCCATTCATTTCTGCTCATCCATCCCTCTATCCTTCCGTCTCCCCAGACACCTTGTTCCTCTATCCCCATCTGTCTACCCCCCACACCTTGTCTGTCTGTCTTATCTATCTATCTATCTATCTATCTATCTATCTATCTATTGCCTCCTCTCTGTTTTCTTCCCGCCCCCAAACCACTGCTGGTTCAGCACAGGAGAATGCAGAGAATGCAGAGGAAGAAAAGACAAAACCCATTTTGAGATCCTGGCCCAGGACCGGAAACCACAGCTGCCCCACCCACGGTTTTAAACCCAGTGCCAGCCTGGGCATGGGGCCAGCTGCAGGCCCTGCCCTGTCCCCCTTCCCCCATTCTGGCAATGCTTCTCACTCCTGACCTGCAGCCCCTGCTTGTCCAGCCCTGCCCCTCCAGCTCTGCTGGGCTTCCTCACTCTGGGCATGCAGACACCCTCCCCATTCAACCAAAATGAGAGAGTCACTGTGGGGGAAGGAGGGCTGGCGGGGATGCTGACACCGACACCGGGAATGCAGCTGAACCGGACCAGGTGGAGGCTCCAGGGCGTCCCTGAGTCACCCCCTCCCGCAGTCTTTTTCAGCTGGGTTGAGCCCCCACATGCTCATGACAGCCTGTGTTGAAGAACAGACCTGGTCGGTCCGTCACCTCCTCCATCCCTCCCCTGTGGTGTCACATTCCCATGTTCCTGGCTCCCTTCTTCGCTCTACCCTTCATCTGCCTCACTTCCCTGAGCATCTGCCCGGGCCCCTGGCTGGCTGCTATCATGCTATCACCTGGTCCTTCCCTTCCCCTCCATCTCTCCACTGCTAGTAGCTCCACCTCCCCAAGAGGTCTAATTCATGACTTATTCCCCCCCCCAAAAAAAATTGCACTTTAATTAAATAGTAATTGGCCTAAAGCTCCCCCCCTCAGGCATGGCTCACCTTCTAGCCCTGTAACTTGGGTGCCCAGCTGGAAGGCAGCACCCCCCAAAATCAAGGGGGACCCCCCAAAAGAGGCAAATTCTCCAGTGGCTTGGACACTCACTAAAGGGGTAGGAGACTTCTACCCTCCCAGGGCCCCAAGGAACAAACACATCCCTGTTCTAGCCTCCCCACCCGACCTCCATCCCTGGGCCAAGTGCCCCAGAGGAAGAATGGAAAGCTGATGGAGGAATTCAGCAGGGTCACTGGGGTGGAGCAGGAGACTCCAGTTCAAACCCCTTTGTAAGGCCCCAGCTAAGATCCTACCTCCACCCACCCCACCCCCCAGGCAAGCGGCCGACCCAGTGGCCCAGGAGCAGCTAGCCCTGGGAATAGTGAATTAAAGGTGAGATGGAGGGGCCCATTCGCCTCCTTCTCTGGCCAGGGATTGGACCTGGGTCTTCACTGGCCTGGCCCCTCTCCACTTATCAGCTTTATCCCATGGCCACCTTAGGGGCACCAGTTCTTAGGGGTCCATCTCTCTCCTCCAGCTTCAGGCTTTCTTAGGTTGCTGAACCCCATAGCTCCCTGCAGAGCTGGGCCCCATGGCTGAACCCTATGGGCAGAGAGGGACTGCTGGGTGATTTTCCCCTGGCTCCACCTGCTTTGAGGGGGCAGGCTGTGGCATTTGAAGTGAGCTGGCCCTTTAAGAGGGTTTCTTGGCCTAAGGAATTCTGGGACTTGTAGTTTCCAAGGAGCAGAGGCAGGCTGTTGGGGAGGGAACCAAGGGTCTGGGAGCTGTTTGCCACCTACTTTGCTTTCCCAACATGCCTTGCTGCCCTGTTTCTGTAGTCCTGGCTACTAATCCCTGGGAACTACAAATCCCAGAAAGCATTGAAGCTGGACTGGCTTTTGCCCTCAGGGCCATGCTACTCATGTGGTTGGGGGAATTTAATAGAGAGGAGGGGAGGAGATAGATTGACTTTTAACCCTGCTCCTGTCTCTTTTGTGCAAAGGGTACCCCCAGGCTACTTACCCCTCCGCCCCATACCCCAGTCCCCACCCTGCCCCTCCAGCCCCCACCCCAGGATTCAACATCTACTCCTCCAGTCCAGGTGCGGGGCAACTGGTCCAACCCCAGGTGCCGCCCCAGGCATTTGGGGACCCTCCTGCACAACACCCGCACTCAGCCATCACACCCTATTTGCCAGTGTCCACCGGCATCCCCCTGGGGCTGGAGTATCTAGCACAGGTGAGTGTGAGTGAAAAGGTATAAATGGTAACTGCGACCTGCCCTAGAGGTGACCAAATCTCAGCATCTGGTGAGTAGTCCCTGTGTAACCAGCCATCCTGATCCAAAGGTGGCTGCATTTTAGTGGCAATGAGGCTAAACAGGTAGACAAGTAGCCCTGAATGTAGAAATAAATACAAGGAGAGGTCTATTGGATTAGAGCAGGGGGGTTGGGCACTAGGAATCCCCAGCTCTGGGAGGGCAGTGGGGGCTGGTGGGTTAGAGCAGGGGGTTGGGAGCTGAAGGGTTAGCATGTGAGGTGTGTACTAAGGATGTAATAGTGTAGTTGATGTTAGCATATTACTAAGGATGTAATAGTGTAGTTGATTAACCGATAAGCAAAAGCTTATAGGTTAATGTTATGGAGTATAGACTATATGTGTTTTCCCCTCACCCCCTTGCCAGTAAATTTTTTAGCAGGCTGGCCAGCAGCCCAGCTCAGTTCTGGGTCACACTGGGTCCTACCCCTGCTGCGGCTCTGCATTTAAAGTGTATTGGGAGCCAGGCAGGTGCCTAGCTCAGTTCCGGTATCAGAGGCAGCAGTGTGGGGCAACAGGCAGCCAGTCTGTGAGAAGAGCTGGTTTTTAAACTGACACCCCTCCCGGATCAGCTCCCACCTGGCACCCCATGCGCGGAGTGGCAGGGGGCTCCTCACTGACTGCCAGGCCCACCCCCGGGGACTACAGACTCGTTGAGTAACTGATAAGAATTCATGAGGTTACTCAACTATTCAGTTAACCGATATTTAACATCACTAGTGTGTACTGCATTGAGATATGTCTGTTGGGCTGTTTGTGTGGTGCGTGTGTGCACTGGGCTGTGTGTGTGTGCGCATGTGATGTGTGTATTTCTTCAAGTTTCTCCTACCCCAGCCCTATTGGCTCTTTTCAGATTGACCAGGTTCTGATCCAGCAGAAAGTGGAGATGGTGGAAGGTAAGTGAAGAAAACACCTTGTGGGGTGAAACAAAATACAGGACTATGTAGCACTTTAAAGACTAACAAGATGGTTTATTAGATGATGAGCTTTCATGGGCCAGACCCACTTCCTCAGATCAAATAGTGGAAGAAAATAGTCACAACCATATATACCAAAGGATACAATTAAAAAAATGAACACATATGAAAAGGACAAATCAAATTTCAGAACAGAAGGGGGATGCGGGGGGGGGGGGGGGAGGTAAATGTCTGTGAGCTAATGGTATTAGAGGTGATAATTGGGGAGGCTATCTTTGTAATGGGTAAGATAGCCAGAGTCTTGTGGTGTGCAACACACGGTCTCCTCCCCCCCGATACACAAGTCCCCTCCATATACATCCCTACACCCAGCACATCCTCCCAGCCACACCCAATGCGCACACATCCTGCACCTACAGACAGGGGGCAGGCAACTGGCGCCCTAGGCGGAATGCGCGATCGGTGCCCCCGCCTCCATAGCCCTCAATGGCGCGACGTCATCATTGGGTGCCATGTTAAACACGGTGCCCTAGGCAACTGCCGAGGTTGCCTGCATCCACGGGCCTCCCCTGCCCACAGACAACACACACACAAGCCTGTTATCTGCATACAACACCCCCCCATGTCAGCCATACATAACACACTATGCTAGCCATATACAATACACCAACTGCACAAATACACCCAACCTGTCAGTCAAACACAATACACACACTGTGCCATCCATACGCAATACACCAATTACACAAACATTATCCTGTCAGCTATACAAACACATCCAGGTGCCAGCCATACACAACACACCATCTACACACACACTACACACCTTTCTCTCAGCCGTACACAACACGCATCCCATGTTAACCATACACATTTACTACACAAACACCATCATGCCAGCCATACACAACATACAAACTTCACACATACACACACCATCCTCTCAGCTGTACACAACAGATGTATCGTACCTGCCATACACAATGCATCAATTACACACACACACGCAACCCGTCCTGTCAGCCGTGTAGGACACATACACAACCTGACGCTCCACTCAACAGCTGCAGCACAATTTGAGGATTCCCCTGCTGCATGAAACTTGCACCCACCAACCACATCCCATACAGGTGGGACGTCCCTAACCACACATAACACAATGCCAGTTACTTACAACATACCTGGGTGCATGCCTGCTCTCATACTCAGTCCTACAGAGTGCTAGGGTAGTGAGCAGATGTGGATGAGGGGCAGTTAAAGAGGCAGCCATGATGATTGCCCTTGGCAACACTGGTTGAAGCAGCCATGAGTTGCTGCGAGCGACTGGGGTAGCTGGGGTTGTTGGCAATGTTGACCTAGGGAGCCATGACATTTGTTGTTGGTGCTAATTATTGCTGGGATCGGTTGCTGAGTCAACTGGGACAGTTGTTTACAGTGACTGAGGCAGATATGAGATTAACAATGGCAAGTAGGGCAGCCATGACGGTTGTGGACTAGGGGGCCATGACGGTCAGTGACTCAGTTGGTCAGGACACTCAGTGGCTAGGGCTGTCGGTGACTAGGTCAGCTACAATAGTCAGTGACTAGGATGTCCATGACTGTTGGTGACTAAGGCAGGTATAACAGTTGTTGACCGTAGGGGCAGCCATGATGGTTGCCAATGGCACTATCACCGTGGTAACTGTCTCCCCGCCTTTCCTCCCAGCTTTCATCGGCTTCGAGGGTGCCAATAAATATGAGCTGCGGGATGGTCTGGGCCGACGGCTCTTTGAGGCTGAGGAACAGAGTGACTGTTGCACCCGCAACTGCTGTGGCTCCCTGCGCCGCCTGCGGTTGAGTGTGGCCGAGCCGGGGGGCCGCCCTGTGCTGCGCCTCCTGCGCCCCCTCAAGTGCGCCAGCTGCTGGTGCCCCTGCTGCCTGCAAGAGGTGAGGGGGAGCACCTGCGGAGGGACCCTGCATTCTGTGTACCCTCCACTTTGCTCCATCCCATGTCTCTACCCCATTCTGGCCACCCCACCCTGTGTTCCCCCAACCTTGTGTCCCCACCATGTCCCTCTTCCTCTCTGGCGTACTGCTGTGCCCCCTGTGTCCCTCCCCCTCTCTGCTGCACCCAACTGAGCCCCCCATGTCTCTCACCAACACCCGTTCCCCTCCATCCCGGTGCCCTGCTGCCCCACTCCTTCCCCAGTCCTGTGGTACTCCTGGGAAAACCCTCCCCTCCATGCCAGCCCCAGACAGAGCCCCGGACAACCTCCTAGACACAGCTCTAACCACCCCCCCAGCGCCAGCCCCAGCTCCAGCCCCAGCCCAGCCCTAGGTACTCCACTCCCCTTCTGGGGCCTCTCTCTACCTTCCCACCCCCCATGGTGCCCTGACTGCACTTTTCCCAGCCTAGACTCTTCACTGTAACCACCCTTTCTCTGCCTCCTGAAGGAGGGGAGCACCCCATGGGCACCCCACAATCTCTAGCACAGGCAGTTCCACTCCTGAGAGGTTGGCTTCAGCAGGGGGCTGGGGATATGGGGCTGCGAGGAGTGGGCACAATGGACATTGGTGTCTCTCCCGCCTACTGACCCCTCACTCGATGTGTCTCCTCCCTCCCAGCTGGAAGTGCAGTGTCCCCCAGGCACCACCATCGGGCACGTGGTGCAGACCTGGCACCCCTTCACCCCCAAGTTCTCCGTCCAGGATGCCAACAAGCAGACTGTGCTGCGGGTGCTGGGGCCTTGTTGTGTCTTCCGCTGTGGGGGGGACGTGAACTTTGAGGTAGCCAGAAGCATCTGGGTCTGGGTTTGGTATCTCAGTGGGGAGAGTGTCTGTGGAGCAGAACAGGGGGAATTGGCATTGGCGTATGTGAAAGGGGTGCCTTGGGGGAAGGTGAGGTTGGAGGGCAGGGGGATGTTTGAGATGGGGATTGTGGGGGTACATAGGATCATCATAGTTGGAGGACTAAGTGTATAGGGGCATGTCCCAGGGGAGGAGCTATGTAGGAACTTCCTGTATTGGTGCCACCGAGGGACAGGAACTATGAAAGGACTTCCTATACAGGCTGTCCCCGACTTGCTACGCGATTGGTTCCGGGGATAACGTTGGAAGTCGGGGGCGTCATAACTTGAGTCCGCATTTACGATAGGCGTCATATGCCTGTCGTAAATGCAGGGCCGAGGGCGTAAGTTGGGGGATTTTGGCCCCTTCCGCACTTACGGAAAGGTCGTAAGTGTGGGGGGGTCATAAATCGGGCCGTCGCAAGTGAGGGCCTCCTGTACTGAGTACAGGGCACAAAGGAGGGACTACAGGGGTTGGGAAAGGAATGATTGGTATCTGAGGCACTTCCTGATCAGACACAGCCTAGGGCAGGGGTGGGCAATAATTTTTGCCCCGGGGGCCACTTCAAAAATTTTTGAAGTAGCCCCAGGCCACCCTGGAATGGGTGGGGCCTAAACAGGAAGAGATGGGCCTAACCAGGAAGGGGTGGCGCCCCCACCCCCAGGCCGTGATTGGTCTGGGGGTGGGGGAGCCCCTTTGCCCCCCCTTCCCACTGGGCACTCATGCTCTGGAAGAGGCTTGGCCTGCTCCCCCAGCTCCAGGCCAATCAGAGCCTGGGGGCGGGGGAGCACACGAAGCCTCCTCCGCTCCCCCCTGTCCTGTGAGCAGCGTGCGGTGCCTCAAAGCGCCACATGCTCCTGGCAGGGTGGGAAGAGGCTTCCCGCGCTCCCCCGCATCCAGGCCAATTAAGGCCTGGGGGCGGAGAAGCACATGAAGCTTTCTCCGCTCTGCTCCCCTCTGCGAGCAGCGCCTTGGGGGTGGGTCTGCACATGTGTGTGTGTCTGTGTCCCTTAGACAGGGGTGAGTAAAAAGGCCTCCATGGGCCAGATCCTGCTGCTCCCCTGCCCCCAGCCCAATTAGGGCCTGGGAGCGGAGGAGTGCGCAAAGCCTTCTCCGCTGGCCTCGCCCTGTGCCTTCAAAGCACCGCGTGCTGCTCGCTTAATTGGCCTGGGGGCGGGAGAGCGCGCGAAGCCTCCTCCTGCCCTGCCAGGAGCACGTGGCACCTAGAAGTGCCGCACGCTGCTCACAGAGCCGGGAGGTGAGTGGAGGAGGAGGCTTTGCGCACTCCCCCGTCCTCAGGCCAATCAGGGCCTGGGGTGGGGGAGCTGCGTGAAGCTTCCTTTGCCCCGTCCCGGCCCTGCGAGGAGCCCGCGGCACTTCAAAATGCCACGCGATCCTCACAGGATGGGAGATGCCACGTGCTCCTTGCAGGGCAGGACGAGGCTCCCTGTGCTGCCCCACTCCTAGGCCCCGAATTGGCCTGGGCGCAGGGGAGCAGCAGGGCCTCTGTAGGCCGGATCCACCCGCTTGGCAGGCCAGATCCGGCCCATGGAGTCCCTTTTGCCCACCCTTGGCCTAGGGGGAGGGACTTCCTTCATTGGGCACTCCCCAAAGGGCATTGGCTGGGGAGGTGAGGGGGGAAGGTAATTGTCTCTCCTGGGCCCCATGCAGTGTCCAATTCACGTTCTGGGCTGCTCCGCCTGCAGGTGAAGACGAGCGACGAGTCGCGGGGTGTTGGTCGGATCAGTAAGCAGTGGGGGGGGCTGCTCAAGGAGGTCTTCACTGATACCGACACCTTCGGCATCCAGTTCCCCATAGACCTGGATGTCAAGATGAAGGCTGTGCTGCTGGGGGCCTGCTTCCTCATCGTAAGTGCACACCTCCGATCCCACTGCTGCCACCAGAAAGTGCTCATCCCCTTCCCACTGTTGCCACCTGTGAGCACTTACCCCACTCCCACCACAGGCACCGGGGACCACCCATCCCATATCCCATCTCTGGCACTAGTGAGCACGAAATCCCCAATCCCCCTCTGCCACCAGCAAGCACTAATCCATTTTTCATCTGCCACCATAAGTGCCCACCCGCCATTCAGGTGCTGCCATCAGCAAACACTCCCCCTTCCCACCTCTGTCACCAGCGAGCAAAAACCCCCATCCCATTGCTGCCTCGAACAAGTGCCTATCCCACATCCCATTGTTGTCACCAGTCAAGCCAACCTCCGCATCCCACTGTTCCCATTGGCAAATGAGTTACTTTTTACTCTGCCCTCAATCTCCACCAATGAACACCCCCCCAGCTCTGTCTAGCCACCTGCCTTCTCTCTCATCCACCAACCAACCCACCTGCCTTCTCTCCCTATCCATTACTGCCCCCAACTACCACAGAATCACAGGTCCTCTCTTCTTACCTCCTGTATCATACAGGCCACCAACCCTATCCAGCACCCGCACACACAACCCAATAATCAAAATCAGGGCAACGGATTATAACCCGCAGGAGACTCTCCTGCCCTCTTCCCCTCCCATTGGTACCACCAGTGATGTCACCAGCCAACCTAACCTATCCTTCTCGTTGCTCACATCAACAGCCATTTAGTGCCTGTTTGCTGTTCTCATCCCACTGCTGTCTCCAATGAATGGCCATCTCATCTCTACCACCAGCCACGTCACTCCAACTCCTCCCATCCCACCTCTCACCCCAGCAACTCACCTGCCCTCTTCCTCCATTTCATTTCCAACCTCCCCTTCTCCTAGCTGGACCCCTTAGGGTTCAGGGAGTCATTACCATTTTCTTGCAACCCCAAGATTACAGATCTGCAAATTGGAGAGCACTGGACTCTGTATCCATTTCCAACCCTGTTCCTCTCTCCCCTCCCCAGGACTATATGTTCTTCGAGAAGGCGGGCCATACTGGCCAGAGGAGTACCGTGCTGAGCAGCTAAAGGCACCTCCTCCCACCTACAGGGGCCCTCATCCCACCGCTAACACCAACGATGGGTTCCCTGTGAATGGACAGTGTGTTTTTGCACTGGCAGGGCTAGGGCAGGTGTTAGGGCATTGAAACTGTTTGCAGAGGTGCCAAGAGGCCTGTGGGTATGGGTGTGGGTGAGCAGTTTGTGCACCAAAGGACAACTCCTCTGGTTATATTTGAAGAGCCCTGGGCCTCTCTCACCAAGGCACCTTTAGGGCTTTCACCCACACAGGAAACCAGCCTCCACTGGTCACCAAATTCCTGAGGCCTACGTACCCCTGCCCCCCCATACCAGGAGCCCCTCCCTGTTAGGTGGGGGTCTTTTCAACACCAAACCAGCAGTAGGAAGATCTTGCAGCCAAATCTCTGCCTGATGTTTTTGCTCATTCTGTATTTTATGTATTTATCGCTTATACCAAAGTGTCTTGCGCTGAACCTTAAAGGGAGTGTTGGGGGTAGGGGAGCAACCTGGTGCTTTTTAATGGGGCTTCCTCCCCCCATCCCCTGCTTCCTCTGAATTCCTGATTCTGGGAGGAGAATCAACTCACGGTGGAGGAATGTTGGGTTGGCTTGACCCACAGAGGAGCTGGGGCCAGTGGAGTCCAACCCACAGTGGAGTCATGTGGGTCACAAGGGAGTCAAGCCAACCCATTGGTCATGATGGATTGAAGCCAACCAATGATGGTGAGCCATTGGTTATGATGGATCAAAGCCATGGCTGTTGGCCATGGTGGATTGAAGTCTGCCGCATTGGAGGCACATTGGCCAACACAAAAGAAGACAACCTTGGCCAATTCCAGTGTCTTTTTGCCTGAACTGGGGATGGATGGCCTTCTTGGGCTGAGTGGATAGGGGAGGAGACTGGAGGAAAAGTGAGAGGAAAGGAGTGGAAGGGCAAACTTCGCCAGGCCCAGAAGAAGATGGGACTGGGCCGTCTATCCTGACTGGTGCTTTGGCTTGTGCGCCACAGGCATAGGCCATGGGGCAGCCTAGGCGTTTCTCAATGAGAAATAGAAAATAAAAGGCTAGACTCCGGCTGCACAAGTGTCTTCTGTCTTAGCTACTTGCTCATAAGCCCCCTTCTCATGCTACCTCTCCAGCAGCTCTGCAGCTCTCCTCTTACTCTCTGCCCCTTTCTCCACCTCTGATTCTGCCCCAAATCCAGTTCCATCTGCCTCCCACAACTCCCTTCCACTCTCGCCTCTCCTGCGCCCAACCATCCCCAATCCCTACACAACACCTCTCCTCTCCCACCCATCTCCTGCCCCACTTCAGGGTGGGCCGATTCCAGGTGAGGGGACGAGGTGCCAGAGGTCCCATTTGGAGGGGCATGGGAGGAAGGTCCATCCATGCTAGATGGCATTCTTAACACTTTTATTGCTTTGCACAATATATACAACAAAGTACAACACCCGTAACGACTGTACAGTAGGTACACACAGCCTGGCTTGCAGCCACAGTGCTCCACCACTCACCTCCCCACCATTTTGTAAATCACAGGCCATCTCACGCACTTTGCACACACCCTGATAATCACACCTGGATGCATCCCACTCCATGCACAAGTCTGGTGAAAAATCCCACACCCTCGGAAGATGATGGACACAGTCACACACAATGTTTGCATAAGCCGCTCCCAAATTGTGTGTGAAAGATGGATATGCACACACCCTAGAACAAAAAATGTGCCTCCCCACAAAATATCCACACAACTGTATAAGCTACACTCCCTGACACAAGGTCTATAGCCACACCCACTACATATGTGGGGACACACATAAAGGTCGACATGCACAATCACGCCCATGTTCATACAACAAACGTACCCTCATGTCTCTCCCTAAATACAAGCAAGGAACCACCAGGTCTCCTGGGTTCTCTCCCTGGCTCTGGGCTGCCGCAAAGTCCCAGCCTATGGCGAGAAGTGGGGCTCCAATGTGGCTAGGTAGACACGGGAATGCAGTCAGTCCCTAAGCCCAGCTGGGATGATGTCCCCTTCAGGCCCGGAGGCCACGGCTCAGGACGTAGCGAGAAGCCATGGCAAGGTTCCAGCGGTGTTTCTCCAGGATGCGCCGGCATTCATCCCGGGAGTGTGGGCTGATGTGGAACAGCTGGTCAACCTGCCGGAGAGAGGGGCAGGTCAGGGGCCTGTCCTTGTTAGGGGGCACTGGCTCTGATCTGGCCACACGGGAGGCAGGGAATGGTGCATGGGGCCTGTCCCCTCTAGGGGACACTGGCTCCCACCCAGCCCCAGGGCAGGGACTGGCTGGTGGGGGAACAGTTGTAGCTCACCTTCAGCACCTCAACAGCTCTCTGTGTGTCCCAGCCGTGCAGCCTCAGTGCCTCACGACATTCCTCCACCGTCACCCCGTGGACCTTCCCCTCCACCTGTATCAGGACAAGCAGACAAGAGAGGCTGAGACTCAGTTATAGGGCACCAGCCTCACAGCTGCCACTGCAAACCCCTAGACCCCCACGATGTCTGGGAGAGGTACAGTGTGTCAGGACTCCTGAGTTCTCTCCCCAGGGCTGGGAAGGGAGGGGACTGGTAGATTAGAGCGGGGGGGAGGCGCAGGCGGAATGGGGGGAGTTGGGAGCCAGGACTCCTGCTTTCTTTTCTCGATCACTCACCTCCTTGATTTTCCGTTCCACATCACTGTTGCCCTTCTGCCCCACAGATGAGGATCCCATGACTCCTGCTGTGCCCCTGGGGGCTCCGACAGGGGCCTTCACCCCCGCTGTTTCCCTCCTGTCCCTGGCCCCAGGCTGCTGCAGGGGAGGTTCTATTCGGAGGGGTTGGCCAGACCGAGGGCCTGGCCGTGATTTCTGGGGCGTCTCCAAGGGCCGGAGCCCCATTTCCCAGGGCATGCGTGATGGGGAGTTGCCGGGGGGATGAGGCGGGAAAGCAAGCTCATCACCCAGACGCCTGGGTTTCGTCCGAAGGACGCTGAAATCTGAGACCGAGTCCAGACTTTTAGAGAGACCTAGGGAGGAGAGAAGGGAAACTGTGTTAGGGCTGGATGGCTGGGTTCTTTCCTCAGCTCTGAGAGGGGACTGGCAGTTTGTGGGTTATAGAACAGGGGGGCTGAGAGCCAGGACTCCTGGGTTCTCCCTGATTCTTTCAGGCTCTAGTGCCAGCCCCTCTCTGCCTGGCTGACCAGATACTCACGTGTGAGCCGCAGAAGCTGCTGGCCTCCCAACTTGAGTCCAGCAGATTCTTTAGAGTCCCGGGGCTTCCCCTTCCGGCTGTGGGGGAGGGAGGCGCAGAGAGAAGGGGGGTTAATATCCTGGGCAGCTACTTCTCTGATCGCCTCTTGTGCAGGGCCCTTCTAGCCATCATCTAAGGTGTTCATATAAACTCTTGTAGGGAGCGGGCAATGGAGAGCCCCTCCCCCTGCTACAGGCCCTGACTCTGAGCCAGTGTGACGGCGCGTTGGGGGTTCCCCGTCTCCTGCCCCCCGAAATGGCACAAACAGACTGCACCAGCCAGTGGAATTGAGGGTGGTTTATTGCTCCTCCAGCACAGCGCAGCACAGATGTAATCTGGTTACAGGAACTGGGGCTAAGAGGCCTCAGTGCCCCCCCTTGAGATAGGGGAGTCCCAGCCCCCTCCCCAGCTCCTTATTCCCTGCCTTCCAGACAGGAACTAACTAACCCTCTTCCAGCCCTGCCCCCCAGCCAGGGCAGCATTCCCCCTCCCTTTGTTCCTCTCCATGGGGGGTGTCTGGCCACTGGTTCAACAAGTTTGACATTACCTCTGCCTAGTGAGGCTTTCCCTGCTGGGTCTTGCTCCAGACAGCAGGGGTCACCACATCCCAGCAAGTACCCCCACTACGTCACAGCCAGCTAGGTCCCAACCGTCCTAATACAGAAATGCATCTCCCCGCCTTAGCCACACCCACCATCATAGCTACACCCCTCAACAGTCACCCCTTTCCCTCAGCCAAACCCCCTCCACTCAACCACGCCCCTTCCCTTCTTCCATGCCCCTTTCCCCAGAGATATGCCTCTCCCTCAGCCACCCCCTTGTCCCCACAAACACGTTCCTTCGCTCAAGAACATGCCTGCTTTCCTCAGCCAGGTCTACTTCCCCAGAATCACACCCTCAGCCCAGTGCCGCACCCCCTTCCTCGCAATCACTCTCCTCCCTTAGAGACACTCCCACTTCCCCTCAGCCACCCCTCCCTTCCATTCTAGAGGCATGCCCATTTGCAACGGCCACACCCCTCCCCTAAGCCACACCCCCTCCCGCCTCTCCCCCACACTCACTCGTCCATGCTGTCAGGGGCCCCCCAGCTGCGGCCGGGGTCCAGGTCACCGTGCCCCATGTGCTGGAAGCTACTGCGCACAGGGAGACTGATTCGCGGCATCCCAGTTGGGGTTGTTTCCTCTGTGCTCACCACTGAGGCTGGGAAGACCCCGACCTGCAGTGTCCGCCTGTTCTGGCCCCGCCAGGTTGAGGACTCTGAGCTGCAGGGGAGGGGCAGGAACTGGTGAGAATCTAGGAGTCCTGGCTCCCAGCCCCCCTGCTCTAACCAGCAACCCCCGCTCCCCACCAGAGCTGGGGAGAGAACCCAGGCAGCCAAGCTCACCTGCCCTCAATGATGGTGATGGGGTCATTGGTTTCTAGCCTGAGCCTCCCTGGTTCATTGAAGTCCTGAATGGCTCTCACCTCCCGAGGCCGGAGCTGAGAATGGAAGGGAAAGGGTTAATCCCATTCCTAGCCTGAGGGGAACTCATGGCCATGCCAGTGCTGGCCTCTCCCAGTAGGGGGTGCTGTGGGAGCAGGGCACAAATACTGGCTGGAGGAGTATGAGGAGCAGGGCAGGAGTGTGGTTGGGGACACCAGGAGGGGGGGCCGGGTGGGTGGCAGCAGGGTGTGCCATAGTGGGGTTGGGGCAGGAGCAGTATCCAGGGTGGACAGATGCACTGTTGGGGGCTCCAAGCAGTGGGCGCTATGGGAGGGGCAGGAACTGTTGGTTGGCCCCAACAGGGGGTGCTGTGTGGAGTGGGACAGGAACGCAGTTGGGGGCAGCAGCAGGGGGTGTTATGGGAGGGCAGGAGCACTGCTGAGGGGCCCCTGCAGGGGGCAGTGTGTGTGTGTGTGTGTGTGGGTAGGCCAGGATCAATGCTGGCAGGCCCCAGCAGGGGGCGCTGCAGGACTCTCACCTCATGCAGCAGGCTGATGATGTCCCGGAAGCGGGGTCGCTCCTCAGGGTGGGGGGCCCAGCACTGGAGCTGCAGGGCATACAGGCCGCGGGGACAGTCCTCTGGGCGCTCCAGCCGTGCACCCTCCCGTTCCACCTTCAGCATGATCTGCCCGGGGGGGAGGCGGGGGGATCACAGATCCAGACACTGAGTTTGCAGCTGCTTGATGCCCTCTTCTGGAGGCCCCCACACTCTCCATCACCAGTGGCAACAACTGGAGGGAGCTTTGAGGCCTTCTCTGCTCATAGGGGGATAGGGCGTGGGGGCTGGTGGTTAGAACAGGGGGGGCTGGACCCAGGACTCCTGGATTTTGTTCCAACCCCCTGTGATGAGATGGGGATTTTGTTCCCTTTGTTGCATGTGATTTCCACTGTCCTGAGGTTACCCCATGTGTTGCCTCAGTTTCCCTGGGCACTGCACCAGTACCAGATGGTGATGGAATTTCAGTGTGACAGCTTCCCCCATGTACACAATGGCCAAGGCCCTTTGTAACCTGAGTCCATGGGGTGTGTGAGACTAGGTGAACCTTTGTTTTGCTGAGAAGCAAGACAAAGACTGGAAGAGGATGTGTGTGTTAGTCTTAGCCTTCTTGAGGTGGCAGGGGGTGGGCCAGGCACTGGCTCTGGGCCTCCTCTCCCCAAGATGGAGTGCACTGCCTGCTTCTAGTTACCGTGCTGACAAGTCTTCCCTGTGCTGGCTGAGAGGCATGTCTGGCTGCGGATGGGAGTGCAGGGCCCAGTGACTCCCCCATGCCTTATTGTCACCCCCACCACAGGCTCACCTGTCGCCCTGAGAGCCCCATCCAGGGCTCCTCACAGTAGGAGAACATCTCCCAGAGGGTGACCCCGAACATCCAGACATCGGAGGCATGGGAGAAGGCTCCAGAGCGCAAGCTCTCGGGGGCGCACCTGGGAGCCAGGAGAAGGTGGTCAGAAATCTGCAGCACAGCACCCACTGGGGCCAGCCTTGCCTGCCAGGGGTGAGTGCCCCCTGCTGAGCCCCTGCCCTGTTCCCTGTGTCCCAGACAGGCTGCTCCCAGCAGGGAGCACGGTGGGGCAGAGGATCTCACCAGGCAAAAGGGATTTTGCGGTGCGCAGACATGATGTATCGGTCCCCCTTGCTTGAGAGTGCCCTCGTGAGGCCAAAGTCCCCGATCTTGGCATGCTCCTCCGAGGCCAGCAGGACGTTGCGGGCCGCCAGGTCACGGTGGATGAAGAGTTTAGACTCCAGGTAAGCCATGCCCTGGGCCACCTGCAGGGCGTAGAGCCAGAGCCGGTGCAGGGGGTAGGGTAGCCGCAGGTGGTCATACAGGGAGCCCAGTGGGGCCAGCTCCGTCACCTGCCCAGAGAACCTGGTAATAATCTAGCAGAGAGAACCCAGGAGTCCTGACTCCCAGCCCTCCCTGCTCTGACCCACCAGCCCCCACACCTCTCCCAGAGCCAGGGAGAGAACCCAGGCATCTGAGCCCACGCACCATCTTGAGTGGCTGGGTGAGCACGACCCCATAGAGCCGCAGGAGGTGGGGATGGTCCAGCCCACTCATAGCGTTCACTTCATTGAGGAAATCAACAAGGGCGCCGGGGTCAGTGCAGATGTCGGAGCGGAGAGATTTCACTGCCACAGAGATCTGGGGGGGACAGGGTAGAGTCAGTTCCTGTGGGAGTATCTGTGAGCACTGGGAGGAGGGGGCACGTGGGGCCAGAGGGGGAGAGGTACAGGAGAGAAAGCTGCCAGTGGAGAAGGGAGAAGTTAGAACAGGTTTGTCCAGCCCTACCCCCACATCCCTCTTATGCTGTCACTGCTATTGGCGTTGGGAGGGGGGAATTGAACTGGTGACCCCCAAACCTTTCCCCCTTGTTCTCAGGCCCCGGGAGCTCAGCTGGGGATCAGGGCTGGTGTCCCATTTCCAGCACAGCCAGGAGACAGTCCGGGTCCCTTTCTAATAAAGCGAGGCCCCAACATTCATGGTGGGGGAGACACGGGCCTTGAGATTCAAATGAACCTATGATCACCCGATCACCAGCAACAAACTCCCCCATTTTTTTCAAGAGCCAATTCCCAGAGCCAGAATACAGTTTGTCATTTCCAGAGCCCATCTCCTGAGTGTCTGGAGCCCGTCTGGCTCCGGAAATCACACCTCCCCAAAAGTAGCAGATTTGGGTGCGACTCAGAGCTAAATCCTCTGACCTTCACAGGGCTGACTCTTCATAGAATCATAGAGCTGGAAGCAGGGCCGGCCCGAGGTATTCTGGCACCCCGGGCACGGGCACGCGGCGCTGCCCCTGGGCGCATGGTGAATGTGCGGGCCCGCCCGTGGGGAGCAGGCTCACCCCCCTAGGGTGCGCAG